TGTATTAAAAACTGAGCAAAAGCTTGCATTATAATTAAAAACATGAATCTTGCTTTTTTCAAAAACTTATTTCGAGTAGAGGCAGATTATATATTTAAAAAAAATTATTAATCGAAATCACCATGCAGATGATTCAGAACAAATAATAATATCTCGCAAATCCGTACCAACAAAAGTCTTTATATGAATAAAGCGTCGAATAATCTACTTTCTATTTATCAACAAAATGATTTTTTCGACATGTTTGAAAAGAAAAAGATAAAGTGTAACATGATATCATATGATACCTTTAATAAGGAGAATGAAATCGAAAACATTCACACTCATTGATTCGTGTTAGTACACATTTTAGAAAAAACTCTATATGCTGGCAAACATGTAAATGAAAATAGATCAAACATTAATACTAATTTAAGACGATTGTTTTTTTTTGTGGCATACTCTTGCTGTATCTAGGCATCGTAACATATATTAAGGAGTGATTGGAAGAACAAGAATATGTAGAGAGTTTTTGTTATGTTCGACCGTCGCGAATGGGATCTAGCATATGTCGAAGAAGATATTCTAATAGTCGGTATTTTCTTGTGCAGGAAGTCCAGGATACTGGGAATGCAACACAAAACGGAATGATAATCGAGAAACCAGAAACAATGCAAAACACTTATATGCATGCATCCGAAAGGAGAGAATGATTTAAAGTTAGTAGAAGAAATAATGCTGATGATTTCAAATTAATTTTTCGTCTCTATTGTTTTTTTCTTTTAGATCGGTTCGATTTATTCATATTGGTATAAATTTAAGAAACCTTATGAGATTCAATGGTACCATGTAACTGCTTTTTTTCGGATTTTCTTTACTCATTTCTGGTGCAATATTAAGTGTATTGACAATTTTCTTTTGTATTATTACATCTCAAGGTTCTTCACATTCTGATTTATAATTTTAATAAAGATTGAGAACTATATATTCTCAAAATGAAAATATAGATAAAAATAAATTAAGAATACATATAAATTTCATAGTAATTTCTAACATTGTAATTACTCAAAACAATGAAAGACAGTTTTTGATAAGAAATCTATTTGACACGATTCTCTTTATATCCTCTTGTATTAAAGAAACTGATAATGCAATCGCTTATTCAAATATACTTTACAAATGTGTAGATTAACAATGTTATTACTCATATAATTTGCAATACTATCAATCATGCAGAATGAGAACACGTCATCATTTACTCACACTCTCATTTCATAAGAGATTAACTAAAAGGACTAATGTAAAATAATTATATTAGTTTTCTTTTAGCAATATCACCGGTTAATATTTGAAAATCATGGAAAAGATTTGGAACCCAAAGACAATTATCATTAAATATCTTACTATACTATTTTTTATCGGTATCACTGTTCCCAAAAACTATCATTAGCGTCTTGTTTTTTGCCAAAGAACATCTTAAACTATTGATTTATGCGAAGCATATTTGTCAAGCTGACAAAGTAAATTACGAGTTGTATGAATATCGATCGCGTTTATTTATATGTAGTTTTATGGTCCAATATGGAAAGCAAATCATCATCCAAATGGAGCAATTAACGCCATAGTTGAAATAGAAAGACCATAAATGTTATATTTGGATATGCTCTCAAGAGTAGAATGCCTGTCAAAAAATAAAAATAAAAATAAAAATAATCTATGATTTTAACTAATCTCATTGGCATTGATATATTTTATTTGTTTTAGTATGACACAAGCAATCTATGAGTAACTCAATGGGATAAACCAAATATACATATCATGATTGTTAACATTACTTTTTATTATATTTCTATTTCTTGTCTTCTATTTCATTCAACAATATAAATAACTACATAACAAACAGATGTTTTATTCATATTCCTAGACTTTGACTTAATTACAAATTATTCGTACTAGAAACTAGAATCTTGAAATTGAAATGATACCTGTAATTTTTTTGATTTGCGAATATAATTATCAATCAGAAAACAGACAAAATTGAAAACGAAGTTTACTAAGTTATAATAGAAATAGTTTGACTAATAGTAATTCAAATTGAGAAATGTCCATATCAGAACAAGGCAAAAGAATAAGATGAGTAACTCAGAAAACTGAAATGCTGACATTGAATATTTGTTTGATTTTCAAAAACAGATTTAAAACTTGATTGATACAGTAGTTAAAAAGCTTCTTGAATGCATATAATAAATATCAAAATTGCCTTCTGATTTTGATTTTCCCTATGATACGAATAATTCAACTTGAATATTTCTAACGAGCGAAGATTCCAAAGTGACAAACACTGAGTGAGCTAATTTATTGACTATGAGAAAGCTTGAGTGAGATTAATTAAATGTTGATATGGCAGAGACTACGAAATTATAAGTTTTAATGCGTTTTTAGCATCTGCAAATGGTATTAATACAAAGATCTAATGATCCTCAGAAGATTCTAGAAGTTTCTGTAAAAATGACTGATTCCTTGTCGAGTTATTGAATTTTTAAATGCTGCTCATATTTCATAAGCAGGTTATGAAAATCGATTTTTTCTAAAAATTCAATATCTCGAGAGAATGAAGCATTGTTTTTTTTTCTGTAAAAGCTTCTAGGATTTTCTGAGGGACATTAGATGTCTTCCTCAATTCCTTGTTTAGATGCAAAAAATCCCATTAAAATAGTTATAAATTTGGAAAGAAGGATCTCAGTTGTTTCATCCCTTGACTAATTCTATTGAAGCCTTCTTATTGGCGAAACTTAAAATTAGCTCAATTGACTTTGATGAGTCAGAGATCTTCTCTCCTTAGTTGATTAGCTTTATTTGACTGTCATTTAAGATGAACATTAATAAGTAGAGAAACACGTTACTTTCGAAAACGTTTTAAAATACAACAATAAATATAAAAATGAACATTAAAATAAAATCCATTTTATCTTACTCATGTTACGACATTGTTTGTTACATAAATTGCACATTAAAGCATTGATAATATCTTGTAGATAAGATGATTACGTGCACTTCATTCTTCATCGATAATAACTAAAGCTAATGTATAAATATTGAACATAATGCAATGTATTCACAAAATTGTAATAAATATAACATGAACAAGTATCTTTACCAGCGATTGACTATCTTGACTTAAATGAATTATATTTCTTTTATTTGTATTTAATATTTTTAGTATAATAAAAAGTCAAAGGAAAAATTTAATCATAATAGATAGATGAAAAAACCTCAGAAATACGTGCCATACAAAAATAATCATCATGCTTAGTAAAGATTACATTAAAATTTCTACATCTACCTGATGCTATGCCTCATTAATGAAGCAAAGACATTTTATAGCATAAATAAATAAAACAAATAAGTGCAATATGTTGATGAACTAAACATAAATCATTTCATTGTGGTCATTGAAGATTGCACAAAATCAATATTAAGTTAATAATTAATAGATATCATAAGGAGCAGGTTTGTTTTTCGACATGCTTTTCATGTTTATGAAAATAAAAACATAAAACACGTTAGTAATAACGCCAATAATCCAATATAGAGATAAACTTATTGATTTGTATATTGAAAAGAAAATGGTGATTGTCGATAAAGACATCATCAGCCAATCGAATCAGATGTTTATCATGTTCATCTCAGTAGAGACTATAACACTTTAAAACCCTCAATGGATATTATTTCGATTTATTTTTGGGCTTTACAGACTATCTTTTCAATAGAGTCTTAAAAATTGCAAAAATCTCTGTTTTCAAAGAAAATATACAAATATTTTAAATGTTTAATGTGTTAAAACAAGTAACTGTCGTCGTTCAGACTTACTTGAACCTCGATTAAATGTTCAACTGTTTCTATATTACATACTATGATACAAACCTAATCGATAATGATATCAAATGTATGCATGATAGTCGATGTAAATTTGATTTTGAATGTCTGCATAACTCTTCTCTTCGACTATTCAATCAATAATACTTAAACCCACATATCATCACATCTATCCACATCTTATTTCAAATAACTACTCTGAACCCTCACAAATATATGTATACACTTGATTTTACATCTGCGATCAAACATACAAACTCATTTTATTTCATATGACTCGCTCTTGAGTCGAGACAAAAATAGCAAATAATCCAATAATGAATATAATAGACCTTTTCTTTAGAGTACAAAGAATAATGTACGAATTAAATACAAATATTCTGAAATCTATTCACTGAACGAAAGTATTTTGCTGCTTTAAATCGTCTATTTACTTTAAAACTTGATCAGTATAAGCAAGAGAAAATGACTAATTGTGTCTGTTTAAATCAAATGTCATAGATATTTTACTTGTCAAAATTTGAATTTAGTCTAACTATAATTTGCAACCAATGTCAGAATAAATGAATTCTATCGTAATTTGTTTTTCTCTCGTAGAATATTAAAGAAAAATATCAGTTTTCATTTCATAAATCAGGTAAAAAGTAATTACATTTTTTAAAATCGAGAGTAACAAGAGACACCAAAAATAGCAAATGAAGAAGGTTTTTTTTAATCTGAAAACATTCTTTTTGATATTTTTAAAATTTGTACATGAAACATACAATATTTATGAATAAATTTATGTACATATCGATTACAAGATTGAATGAAAACAATTTTATCTTGATACAACGATCCTTATATGCTACAAATATTTTTCAAAAAGAAGTAATGCAAGAATGAAAATTAAATTGACGGAATTGATAATAATGAAGTACTTAGTATGATAATTCAGAATCAAATATCTATGAACAAGTTCTTATTTCATGAACATTGCAAAATGTATTATTTTACGTAAATCTTTCTTTTATATATACATTTTCTAGCACTATAAGAAACTAAAAACTACTTGACGAATCACAGTATTTCATTTGATTAAACCACGAACATTTACTGTTTTATACCTTACACTGGATTTGCACCTATCCCTTAACGGAATGATAATGGTATTCCACGTGATAAAGGTATTAAGTTTTGACGAGCATTTGCTGCTAAATGGAATCCGAACATCGTCTTTCAATGCTTTCCAATTAGATCAACTCTGGACACGACCATGTAATAATGAAATTGATATTGCAATAGATGATGTTGTCCGCTTGGAGTTTCGTAAAACAACAAGTGTTGTATGGAGTGAACCATATAATACCGTGCAACGTTCATTACTTATTCATACTGCAGATCGTGAACAATACAAAACTATGGCTGACTTTAGTAGTAAAAAAAACACAGTGACAAGTGGCTCTATTGCACAACATGATACAGAGCAACGAAAGCCAACAACTGCATGTATCATTTATTATGATGGCAATCAAGGAAAATGTAGTTAGTAAACTGCTCAATGGGACGATAGATGCATTTGCTGAAAGTGATATTTGTAGCCGTTGTTTAACAATGACACGTGTGCCAAGTCAGTTGACGATGTGTATTCTATGAACGAAGCTGAACATTTTGTTTTTGCTGTACGAGAAGCAAGTGGCGATATACTCGATGCTTTGAATTCGCTTTCAGTCGCAGCTATCATAACGATTATTAAACATTTTAGGATTGTAGTTTTCATTTTTCTTTACAAATCACTTATGCACATAATGAATACAAAACAGAAGTGAATTCTTATATCCCAAAACCAGTAGATGTATTTAAGAGCTGTAATTTTACAAATAACGTTAACTTGAAAGATTATGTAAGAAATATATAATGATATTAGTCAATCTTTAATAGTCGATATTTCAATGATTCTTACAACACGATCTCTGAATCTAATTTTCTTTGTAATATCTGTTTGAGACTTCTTCAGATAACTCAGTCTTCGTTAAAAAAATGGTTGCTCAGATTAATATATGAAAATGTTGTCGGGATTGTCGAGAGTACGAATTTGTAAGTATAGTTTTGGAGATTTTATAAATAATCATTGAAACTTTCTGAACTAATAATGATGTCTAAACCAATTAGTAATTTTTTTCGTTGAGTTAGATCTGCAAAAATAAACAAATATTTTTCAGAAGTAAGCAGATCGTGTGCATCTTAGACTAGAGACCTGCGGAGTCAAACTTTTTTGACTCCGACTCCAACTCCGACTCCGAAATTTTTTTCCTGTGTAACTCCGACTCCGACTCCGGAGTTTTTTTTTCTAAGTGACTCCGACTCCGACTCCGAAAGTTTTTTATGAATAACTCCGACTCCGACAACATTTTCATATATTAATCTGAGCAACCATTTTTTTAACGAAGACTGANATCATATTTCATGAAAGATGTGAGAGGCTCCTGTATTTTTCAAGGTTCAATATCTCGTGAAGAAAACATATCTTTTAGCTGGAATTTTCAGAGCACGTTAGTTACAAGTAGACCTATTCGTAGACGAAATTTCAGATCGAAATATCGTCATTCGATTTGTTAGCGTATACTATGCTATAGGCGAAAATTCCAGTAAAATGGCTATAACTCTGAACGAAAGGCCTATGGGCCCTTATCTTTTTGGGGTTTTTCATATCTTACTGGGATCTACCTTATGCACAGAGTTCGAACTCAAAACCGATTAATCACTTCGGGTACCGCCCTCGTTAGTTGTTTTAATAAACCGTTTCGAGATTTGATGGGAGGAAATTTCCAAGAAATTAGGCCCTGAATGGATAAGTACGCTGTTCTGTGTTTTTGACCGACTACCGGTTTTATATAACGTTCTAAACATATGACAATAAATTTGAAATGAATATTCAAGTATTTTTATCTAACGATGCCGAAATTAAAATATTTCAATATATAAAACAGGTCTTAGAAACGGATTATAAACGAAAATCCTACTCAATCGATGTATTTGGCTCCTTTCGTAATTATATCACTTCGCTATTTTGCTTGGTTACCCTGTGAAAGTGATATAGACCGGCCTAGTTTTTCATGTTCTATTTAAAGATGTTCTTGAGGAAGAAAAACAACATGTTCTTCTGCAGTAAAATTATTATTTAGTAGTAAAAAGCCATATTTTTCATAGCACCTTTCCACAGTTCTCTCATGTTGTGCGTCATTCTATATGTTCAGTTGACACAATCAGTTTTTCACTGCATAGAGGAGACTTGGTTTAAAATTTTTGTCAAACATTTAGAGCACTGTATTCGACTGGGAAGATCTATTGTAGCTTGTGTTTGATAGGAAATCAAGGAAAATAGTTTTCTAGACTCTCGAGGGCTGGATGGAGGTACAGGTATGACAAATCTCGATGGCAAATAAACAGAGACATACGCTGAAGTTATAGTTCATGCTTGGCTTGTTATCACCATATGGTTCGATTTTGAAAACGGAGCCATAATAATGAAAATGAGCTAATCAGCTTTTGCTGTTTCTCAACACTATTAACCATTTTAGTCAAAGAACTTTTGATTATTTCCCATCAATCTGTATAGAATCTGTAATACTTTAGAAATATTCACTATAGGTAATCGAATGTCCTCTATCTAATGAAACACTAGTTCTGTTAGCTAAACATAGAGGGCAATGTACAGCATGCGTAAACTGTGAAAATATGATCTGAAATATATGACATGCCACCATTAAATGGTAATCTTACTTCAAAAACCAGACTTTTTTCTCGTCTTCAAGGACATATTTGAACACAGCCTGAAAAACTGGCGCTATTTGAATGACTTTTAAAGGATAACTAGGTGAAATGACGAAGTGATATAACTTCCCAAGAGGACGTATCCATCAATTAACTAGGGTTTTCACTTGTAGTCCGGTTGTATGAGCTGTTTTAATTTCTGTATCAGTAGGTAAACAATACTTGAATATTGTTACAGCCACATGTTATATTTCTTGACTCATTTATTTTTTATTGATATTTGTTTATTCAACTCGCATTTCTTGATGTTTTATTTTCTCTCATATAATTCTCTCTCGCTTGGTCAAATCATTATTAATAAAAAACGAACATTAAGAAGGTGAAGATGAATCTTCTAATAAATATCTACTTCAAATTTGTTGTCATATGTTTAGAACATTATATAATACGGGTATCCGGCCAAAAGCAAACAATAACGTGCTTATTGACTCAGGACCTAATCTCTTGGAAATTTTCTCTTCTCATTCATCAAAATGATTTTGACAAAAACTAAAACAATGTTCGCAATCAAAGTCGTTAACTCTATATTTTGTATGCGTTTAACTTAAAATGAAGAGAACAAAACCTCTAGATGTACCATAGAGGAATATAGATGTAGCAAATCTCAATGTCGAGCTAAGATGAATAAATACTCTTGTCCTCTATCACAAAAACTTTAATTTAGTTCAAACAAAAACTTTTTATTTGTAGGAAAATGCTGCTGTCTATTCTTTTACTGCTGAAATTGACAATCGAACAATCACAGCTATATTAAAAGAAAAGAAAATAGCAGAACAAGAATATAAATCAGCTGTTGAACAAGGTCGAACTGCAGTCCTTATGCGACAAAGCAAAGAAACATTAGATACATTCACAGTGAGTAATTTATAAATATATATAAATTGGATTTCTATCATTTGAAATAAAAACAAAAACTTCATATCTCCATTAAGGTTAATGTTGGTGCTTTACCACCTGGCAAAGAATGTCGAGTTATGATTAAATATGTAACTGAATTAGATTTAATTGATGGAAGTTCTATTCGATTTGTTGTTCCTACGACTATTGCTCCACGATATAATCCATCATTAGGTCATTTACAATCACCTGATCGTACAGCAGCTGAATATGTTCAAAATACTTCATATTCAATGTGGTTTCAAGCACATGTTCTTCGAGGTGAAGAATGTAAGCAGATATTTTATTGATTAAAAGATTTTTTTTTGTAAAAATTAATTCATAAAATTTTAGATAAAATTAAGCAAGTCGCTAATCTTTCACATCCAGTAAATATTAGTATGTCACGTCAATCGATTGATGTATCTTCAATGGCTATTGTTCTTGATCGTGATATTATTTTGGATATTGATCTGCCTGATAATCGACCATCGACACGTTTTGCTATCGAAAAATATAATGATACTTCAAAATATGCTCTTCTTCTAGCATTTACCCCACGTCTTTCTGATTTTATTAAAATTTCTAATGGAAAAGACGAACTTAATACTGAATTTATCTTCATTGGTATATTTTAATAGAATTCTTATACTTACGTAAAATAACGATTTATTATTTTTTGTTCTTTTGCTTTTTAGTGGATTGTTCAGGTTCAATGACGGAAGATAATGGTATTGGTCTTGCTAAAGAAGCTATGCTTCTATTCATACGTAGTTTACCAGTGGGTGCTCATTTTAATATCATTCGTTTTGGATCAAATTTTGATATTCTCTTCAAAAATGAGACTTTGACGACTGTTTATGATGAAACAACTGCTAAAATAGCTGAAAATCTTACACGTTCAATGGAAGCCAATTTTGGTGGAACAGAATTGTTGGAACCTTTAAAACATTTGACAGATCATCCACCAATCAAAGGTCGATCAAGACAACTATTTCTACTGACCGATGGAGAAATTTCGAACACAAATGAAGTAAACATGTCATATGAGATATTTAAGAGACGCTCCATGAGAATGCCGAACAGTATCTCTGTATAAGAGACACTGATCAAAATTTTAATTTTATATGCATTCGAAATACTATCATTTAAAATCACTAAAACCAAAATTCTACTTCATTTCAATGATTTATAGCAAAGTTACACTTCAGCCATTTTACAGCAGTATTTACTTACTATTAAGAAAACAGTAATTAATGATCTCATAAATGTCTATTTGGATTGTACTTTCACAAATCAGAGAATTTTTTCATAGAGCATATCAAAAGATAGATTATCAACATTTAAATAAAATGAGCTATTTAAAATTTTCTATATTATTTATTTACTGAGCCAATACTGTTGAAAAAAGTCATAATTTAGCAATCTGTAATGTTCGTTTGTTGACAATAGGTCTACTGTCATTTTTCGAAATTATACGATATCAAGCTGAAGTTTTGACATATGATGCAACTTTTTTGATTCTCTACAAAATAGTAACATGATATTAAAAAAAAAAACTTTCACTTCCGAGATAATATTGACTTACACTATCAATAGACAGGTAAACAAGTTCAAGAAAAATGATAACTGACACGTTTCATGGTGCTTCTTTCATGATAATTTTCATTTTATAGACTTCATCCTGATTAGAATTATATAAACATTTCTTTCAAAAAACGAAAACAAAAATTCTTTTGGGAAATTGAAAAATAATAATCCATATTGATAAAGCATGGGGACTTGATCATAGAGACATATCATTGAAGTTAATTATTAATAGTAATTTAGTGATATAGGGATGATCTCTTGACATGCTACACTTGCTGTGAACTCACTGATTCTCCATTAAAAGAACATTCTATATATTACTAGATAATGATTGATAATGAACTTCAATCACATGGCTATAGCCAATGTTTCATGCTTTATCAATATAGATGATTATTATCCGATTTCTCCAAAAAAAAACTTCTTTGGAAATTACCATAATTTCTCTTAGGACTTCCAAGGGTCCAAAGGCGTTCTTTTCGCATAGAACTATCTATATAATTCTAGTCAGGATTAACTCCTACTTTCACCAAGATAAAAAGTATCATGAAGACACAGCAGTGAAAAGCGCTCGATATCATTAGTCTTGAAGCTACTTATCTGTCTATTGATAATGTAAGCCTCACATTGCCTCGAAGATACATTGTTTTTTCGATGTTCTTTTTACTATTTTGTAGATAGTCAAAAATTGCATCATATGCCGAAAAATTCCGCTTGATGTCATTTGATTTCGAAAAATGACAGTAGATATACAGTCAACAAACGGATATTACAGACAGCTAAATGATGACTTTTCCAGTTATGTTGGCTCAGTAAATAAATATTATAGAATATTTTAAATAGTTCATTTTGTTTAACTGTTGACAATCTATCTTTTGATATACTATATGAAAAAATTCTCTGATTTGTGGAAATATAATTCTAGTAGACATGTATGAGACAATTAATCGCTATTTTCTCAAAAAGTAGGCGAGCAGTGCTTAGAAGTTAATCAAAACTAACTTTACTTTGAAATGTCGAAATGAGCTAAGCATTTTGGCTTGATGGTTTTACATGACGACCTTTTGAATACATCGACAATTTGAATTTTGATCAGTGCCCCGGCTCTTTGTCTCTCTTATGGTTGCTTCCATATGCATTATATAATTTACATTCGGAAGCATTACCACGTGAGGGGTTACATTGAATAGACTAGGAAAAGAAAGCATTTATATATTATTGATATAGAAATAAGAAGTCAGAGTTCCTCTTTACTTTTCAGGTGATTGAACTATGTCGTTCAATGGCTTCATCTACACGGATATTTTCTTTTGGTCTTGGTCATTCACCATCTCGTTCCCTAGTGAAAGGTCTTGCTCGTGCAACAAATGGTTATTTTGTTTTCGTACCTCCAAATTCAAAAGTTGATACATACGTCGGTAGTCAACTTGGTCGAGCTCTTCAACCATCATTAGTAAATGCTCGACTTGAATGGTATGGATTGTCTACTGAAGGATTACAAGCTCCAAAAACGATTCCACCTCTTTATATCAATGATCGTGTCTTAGTTTATGAACTATTAGAAGGTGATGAATTGAAAAATCAAAATATCAGTGTAGCTCTCTTTGTTGGAGATCATAAAATTAATTCGATGAAATTATCTGGCAATATTGCACACAAACAAGATACAATACGTCGATTAGCAGCTAAAGCTTTAATACAAGAATTACAACATGAAAAAGACAACATATCGGATACAGAGTACGCATTTAAATCTAAATGAGATTTCTATTTTTTTTAAAGAAGGAAGAAGAATAGTCGATTCAAATCATTTGAAATATTTAATTAACTTTTTTTCCACTCATTTATCTTTTGTATTTATGATAGAAACAATTCGACGCTTGAACAACGCATTACTACACTATCAATGAACCACCAAATTTTATCGCCCTACACAGCCTTTGTTGGTGTAGAAACTACTAGTCCAAAAAACAATAATACTGGCTCTCAAGTTCGTCATATACCTATTCAAATATCGAAAGGTGATGAACATTTATTTGGTTCTCAACCGTCATTTTCTTATTCTTATGGTGGTGCAATGGGGCCAATGGGACCAATGGGCTTCTTTTCTGGACATCATCAACACGCAATGGCAGCACCAATGCCGATGGCCTCTGCAAGATATGGCTACCGAGGACCGTAAGTATTCTTAAAGTCTTTCTAGAACACACTAGATTGTATTTGTATTTAGATATGTGTCTGTATGTTTTATCCATCTTTATTTTTTATTCGTTATTATTCAGTCAGGGAACATACTTATAAAAAATATTGAATTTCGATTTATGAAAGTAGAAATAAAAGTTGCACCGGAGTGTATAAGACAGATGATTGAGACAGTTGAGTGACCGTGTCATGTTCAGTTTTCAAAGTCTATTAGAGTATAATATTGAAAATTAGGTATTCGATGATTAATTACATAGTTTCTGGATTTTAATAATGATGAATTGATGCATTTCAAATTTCTCATATTCTTATAACTTACAGTTCTGTTTTTATTTTTTAATATACGCAGACCTATCCATCAACAAGCCGGAAATTCATGGATTGGTTCAAATATGGTACACTATAAGAAAAGCTGGACAACCGTCGCCACTACTACTCAATTTGTGTCTACTGATCCTGTCCGCTGGTTAATTGATCAACAATCATTCAACGGAGCATGGCTATTAAACGAGAACGATATTAAAAAGTTGACCAATGGCAAATCGTTAAGCACATTTATATCAAACGTTACTAAAGATAAAGATGCTTTAACAACAGCACTAGCCATCGCTATACTTGAGTTAAAACATGCCGATCAAAAGAATCTTTGGTATGGAGTGGTAGAAAAAGGTCGCAAACGACTTTCTGGTTTTGGTCTAAGTAGCGACCAAATTAATTTACTTATCAACGAAATTAAGAACAAATTGTGACATTTCAATGCTTTTATTATATGTAGCTAGCGAGATATTATTTTCTCGAATAAAATATGTACTCTCGTTGCAAATCATTTTAAGAAAATTAGAAAACCCTATAGGACACATCACTATTATCAAAGGATAAGTTTGTTTTCAAGTAAAATAAGAAAAAACAAAATATGTCTATCTTAAATCATGTTGATTAAATTATCTATCATTGAGCATTTTTGAAAGTTGATCATAGTCGAAGATCCTATGTAAATGGACTGTTGACTATCAGAACTCTTTGGACTGGAAGTTTTTTCTTGGTATCATCTTATTGAACAGGACAAAATCTTTATAACAGATTATTCTCTTATAAAAAGAAGTTCGTTGAAATTGCCAAAGTAATTCTATTCAAACAATAATGTACAAAACGGTGAAACATTTCATTCGAAAATATTAGTAGATTGAATACTAGATAAGCATAACAGAACTGCCGATCTGACAGCTTGTTGGCCTGTCTCTTACATTGTATAAATCAAATATTGGTGTATTACCTTACTAATTGAGAGTGCTTTGACAAATTCATTCGGGTTTAACAACAAATATTTTGATTATGCATTTACTTTTACTTCTTCCTTGTATTATGTTAATACAAGCCTTTCTTGTATGCAAAAATCTGTGCATTGTCTCTTTGTTTTAATTTGCTATTTCGTACAAGAATTGATTATTGTATATTTGTAAAATCAGAAGCAACAATCAGCCTGGTTTGCCATCCATACTAGGGCAGAAAAAAGTGACCTGACGACAATTGTGAAATATAATATAATATTGAACCTTAGTATTCCTTGAAATGGATTAATTAGTATGAATTTTTGAAAATACATTAAAATAAACTTTTTTGTTGCATGACGATAAGCATGTGTTAGTAATGCATGATGATTAATGCACTATTTCAAATTTTTGTTTTCGAAAAGTCCATCAGCGTTGTCCATGGACTCAACAGGACTGATCATACACGTCAATAAAATTTTTTAATAGAAATTAATCTGATCTATTTAATAAATAGATTAATGCCATATAATGTCATAAGCATTTTATAAAATTTACAGTATAAATTAATCGAAGGAAAAGTATAATTATAGTTAAGAAGATGTAAAGCTTATTTAGAAAAACTAAATTGAAAATGTTGCCTCATTGCAGTTGTTTTATTCTGTATAGTTGTTCAATCTATATGTTTCATCGTCATTCGTTTGTTCCAACCAAAAACTTGATTTCTTATTTTAATGAGAATTGAATTGAAGTGAGATGGATGTAATCTCAATAACTGTACAACGAGAATAGTTGCTGACCTGTAGTTTTTAGCAATCCAAAGAGAAAAATTCTGGAAGTCATTTTTTATGATATTATATAAGACAAGTTTGCTTTAAGATCCATCGTCTTCGTAAAAAAAATAAAAAAATATGCATGAAAGCGGTGCCGTTTCAAGAAAATTTTCTAAAAATCTACAGAATTCTATTGTATCATACTGAGTATCTACCTCATTTTGTTTCCTCAACATTGAGATGTATGAAGATAGTCATCTAAATCGTAGCTTGAACCAGAGATTTGAAGTTTCTCTATCTGCAGCGTATACCAAAATCAAAATAACATCGAAACGAAACATTGTTTTTTTTTGCATTTTTTTCTAATGTTTTGCAAAGATAATGGATTTTAGAATAATTTTGCCTTACATAGTATCAGACAAAAGGATATCAGGATTTCTCCGCTCGTATTTGCTGAAAACTGCAGATCTTTATCTGTTTTCCATTGTCAAGTTCTTGAAAATACACTTACTTCTCTTCAATTCTGAGGCGAACATTAGTATTACGTATGAGATCAAAATAGAAAGTACTACACAGTCACGTTCACTATACAAGTATTAGTTCATTCTGCTTAAGAACAAAATGCATTTGGTCGTATAATGAAAACAGAATATTATAGCGTATAAACTTATTTCACGATTCGATCAACTCAATTAACTTGGAATTTATTTATTTTATAAATGATAACTATTGCACGTTTTCATTCGACAGCTATTTTAGTTACTATTTCATTGTGAAAATGACGATGCTCGACATAAGACTTGTCTCTCATTTGTATTCTTTAACTTTCTCTATATTATGACTAGGGTTCTCGATTAGAAATCTTCTCTCCTGTCGCCAAAATGTTTGACTTTCTGCTTAAATTCATACCACTTTCTACCAGTTTTTTTGCAGCTTCGTGGTAACTTTATATAGAAACCGGATTTTCAAACAACATTTACCTTTCTTTCGCAGAAAGTGAAATAAAAATAAGCAGCCAATGCCGTTACGAAATAAATAGTATTGAAACGGGCTCCGAAGAAAGGGTAACTTTGTGACAGATCATATGTTGCGGGAGGAGTCAGGTCACATAGGGATTCGTTCTTCTCCTCCGGTCACCATTTTCAAATCTCCGAAGATGAAAGAACTTTCTGCTAAATTTTTACCCTCTTTTCCTCCTTCTGACACTCCTAAAAATGTATAGACGTTCCTGGTGATAGTTCATTTTTACTGTATCTCTAATTATTTGTTAAAGTATATCATCAAAATCTTTTTCAACTCTTCTTTGTGATCTTATTTATTTTGTGATTACAAACGTGACTTATGAAAGTGTGATATTCAACTGATAACGTGAAGATACGCAAATTAAGCAACAGACATTTTGCTCATCCTTCTTCTTACAATATTCATCAGTTAACTTTTTCTCTTGAAATCAATTATATTGCTTCATTTATACCTTTAGTACCTCATCTGTACTTGTATTTTAATTGTCAATGAAAAAGGTTAAAAAACATTCTCTATATAAGATAGTTGCGTTTCATTTTTTACCTGATCAACTTAATATGTTAATAATGCTTTAAGCATTAAATATCGTGTTATCAATGTTGTATGTCTTTTCTTTTTTTTTTTTCTTTACTTTTTCTTCATTATCTTACTACTGTGTAACTCCGAGAATGATAAGATAATTTAAATTATTTGTCATTGTTTATACTTTGCCATTTAGCAAGTTTTTACAAAAGATAAATGATCATGAAATGAAGCATTATTTAAAATCTCTCCCTGAATTAAATCTAACACCTGCTTTACCAAAAAATCCACGTAGTTACCCAATTATATTGATTGGTGCTGGTGCAATCGTTACTTTAGGACATTTACCAGCTTATAAAATAGCCGGATTTTCTGTAAAAGGTATCTATGATATCGATCGACAAAAAGCATTCGATGTTGCCAAAAAATGGCATATTCCAGAAGTATATAATACAATTAATGAAGCGTGTACAACATCTGCAAATGAAAATATTATTTTTGATTTAGCTGTTCCATCAAATCAGATACAATCTATTCTTAAACATCTTCCAATAAACTCTCATGCACTTATTCAAAAACCAATGGGTGAAAATCTTACTGATGCACAATCAATTGTAAATATATGTAAACAACGTCATATTCATAGTTCAATAAATTTTCAACTTCGTTATGCTCCTTATATTCTTGCTCTTAAAGATGCTATTCGTCTTGGTTGGTTAGGTGAACGATTAACAACTATTGAAATACATGTTAATGTATATATGCCATGGTCATTATGGCCATTTTTAGCAACTGTAGAACGTCTTGAACTAACCTATCATTCAATACATTATGTTGATTTGATACGGGATCTTTTAAAACCATATGAACCTAGTGCTCTACACTGCCGCACAAGTCAACATGTAATGATGCCTCATTTGAAATCAGTACGATCTTCTTATTCATTTGAATATAAACACGATCCAATGTTATATGTAAATATTTATACAAATCATCATCATCGATGGGGTATGAAACATGCACAATCCTATATACTTGTTGAAGGAACAGCAGGTGCAGCTAAAGCACAAATTGGTGATAATTTTGCATATGGAAAAAATATAGAAGGACAACAAATAGATTATTTACAAGTAAAGCAAAAGTCGATTGTCTTTTAATCGATCAGTTTTATTTATTTAAGTATTTGTTTGTTTTTGATAGATTTGTTCAGATGAAATGACTAAAGGCGAATGGATTGACATTGATTTACAAGGGCGAACTCGTTTTCCTCATGCATTTATTGGACCAATGGCAGCAGCTATACGTCGATATGAAAATCAATATAATCAACCGTCAACTGATGTTAAAGATGCACTCAAAACAATGACAATAATCGAAACAGCATGGAAAAGTTCCACAAATAACATGACTCCAATTCATTATAATTAAATTGATGTTTTTTTGCTAATTAATCTTTTTGTCAGAATTTCTTTTTGCATTTGAAATAATTCAAACATACATAGACAATATAATTGGATAAATTTAAGAATATCTATAACGCAATTTCTGTAATACGAACATGAAAGAGTATATTCCCATGTGTCCATCCTACGCTGAGTTATTTTTATTCTCGCACAAAAGAAAAGGTCCCATTATGTAGACATAAGTCAACAAGAGCTTAAGCTTATTTTCTGTCTCTTAATTGTTTGGATTATATGCTTAATTTTTCTTTTTGTTTTTTTGGACTCATAAACTCTAAGATGGCGATCAACCGACTGAGATTTAGATTAAAAAGAATAATCTGATAGAATTAAAAAAATGATTAATAATTTATAGAAGATAGACAAATATTTAATTGCTTTTGAAAGCAAGTCATGTTTCATTTTTATTAACATCTCTCTCATCAGATATTTTGATTTATAATCTATATTAATAACCATCAATCCAGTGGAAATCAATCCGAATAATATAGAAATGCTTATAAGAAAAAAAAAAGAAAAAATAATTATCAAGAGAGACACAATATGTTTACAACACAAAATCATTCTAGCTGACCGAAGTAGATAATTCTCTAAAAATAAAAATAAAGAGTTCTTTCTAAGCAAAAATCATTCAGTAACATGTTTGAATATTCACACTAGAAGATTTGTATCTATTATCGATATTGATCAAATCAACAAAAAA